ATGAGCTAAAAGACAAACAGGCTGCTTTCTCAAAAATGAGAATTCTCACAAAACTGTAAGTAGTATGGCTTTATAACAGAAATAACCCTTCTGAGCATTACTGTCATTATTATCAGCAGCAACAGCATTAAAAGACTAGGGACTGAACCTAGGGCTTTGGGCATGCTCGGCAAGATTCCCGGCCCTTATTTTGAGATAGGGTCTTGCCAAATTGCCCAAGCAAGGCCTGAACTTGTAAGCCTACCTCAGTGGCCAGAGTAGCTGGAATTACAGGAGTACACCATTATACTAGGTGTAAGCATTATTTTTAATGTATCTGTCTCCTGAATTATATAGTGAATTCCTTAAGGACAGGACCTTGTCTTTTTCATTTATAAATCCTTAATATCTAGCACAATAATTTTCATTCAGTAAGCACTTGATAAAACTTCTGTTCCAAGAATGAAGGAAACTCATGTATAAGTTTTTAAGCTTCAGAATATTGAAGTAAATACTGTCTTATGTAAGTAAATTAAGGTTTAAAGTGTAGATTTTTAAAAACTGAAATACTGAATCATACTACAATGAATAACAAGAAATAACTAACATTAATGAACATAATTTAGTAAGACAGAAAAAAGTGAATCAAAATTTTGAGATTCTAAAACAAATCAAATATGGTTGCAAAGACAAAAATGATATGAACCCACTATTCTTTAATTGAAAAAAATATAGTAACACAGCAAGTATTAAGAGTACACACACAAGATCTTAAAAAGTACACAAAATACCAAGTTGCGTTAACTTTACAGATTTCTCAGTTCTATCCTTTTCTTAATTAGTTTTCCCTCTTTACAGAGCTGCTTTCCTGCTCCTACTATAAGAAGCACACCTTGAAGTGTTGGGAGCTGCCTTAGCCGCTCCCCTAAGATGGCGCCTGTTTCCTGCTTCCGGGTTCTTGTTGCCGCGTAAACAACCTTGTAAAACGTGTGTCTGCCTGGATACTGATGATTCTGACCTATCAGCTTGTAACCCTTGCTTTGCATTGATTGGCTACTCAGACCTTATATAAGTGTGCGTCTCTGCCCCCAAAGGGAGAGAAGGGAAGGATAGATGAGGGTGGAGGATCTTGTCAGATCCAACAGCGCTGTACATAATAAACATTGAGAGCTGACTCATTTGCGACTAAGTTCTTACTAAAACGGCGCCGGACATTGAAGGTGAATTTCATTTGATGTTTTCAGAGGTAAAATAATCCGTGAACTGCCTCTCCAAAACCTCTAGATAAAATCAGCTGATTAAAATACTAGCATTTCTTCTAAAGGGGAAAGTTGTGACCTGGTCCTTTAAAATGTCAATGGCAGGGTTATTGTGAGTCTACCCTCCAAAGTGTTTAAAGAAGTCAGCTGCCAGGAAAACTGTGCAAAGAAAAGCCTAGACTCACATCTAGGAACACAGGAATTTAGTTTCAACAGTTAATGAGGATGGAAAATCGGGATAAGGGAGTACATTTCCTTCACAGCACAGCATAAGCACCCCTATCTGCAAATCGGACATGTTGCAAAATCCAAAACTTTTTGAGGGCTGTCATAATGCCACAAGTGACCAATTCCACATGTGACCTCATGTAAGACATCACAGTCAAAACACAGATGTGATAAAATACTGAATAAAATTATCTTTGGGCTATATTTACATGGTACATATGAAACATGGATAAATTTCATGTTTAGGCTGGGGTCCCATCCCTAAGAGATCTCATTATAAATAAATATCACAAATTCTAAAATCTCCACAACACTTCTGGTCCACACATTGGGCATAGGAGATGCTCAATCTGTACCAATATCACTTCAGTCAGCCCCTCCTCCCATTCCAGTTCGTAAACACAGCTTTCTATTTATTTCAAATGTGTGAAACCCAACCTCTACTCCACTGTAGGCTGTGCCATGTGGGTTTTAAATAAAGAGGAACAAACCAATGTCTGATCATCTTTCAAAAGGCCCCGCATACTGGAGTTAAGAACAGCAGTGCCAGGCGTGCCGGTATAGACCGGTAATTCCAGCACTAGAGGCTGAGATAGAAGGGCTACAAATTCAAGTCCAGCCTGAGCAACTTAGCAAGATGTTTTCTTGGTAATTTTTATATTTTTAAAATTTTCTATTAACAACCTTGCATTATTTTAATCATTAGGGGAAAACTCTTTGAAATATATTCAATCATTAAAAAGTAACCATACAAAAACTTTATTAGTAGTATCAAACTTTCCGTATATAATTGAAATGTTTTCAAATGTGAAGGTGATTATAAGAGCACAAAAGTAAGTACACTGACTTGGGAAATATGTTCACACACATGAATATAAATGTCTCACACAAACAGTGGAAATCAAAAACAATTATTAAAAATAAATTTTAATAATTAAAAATATGAAAATATTAACAAAATCATCTCTGTATAGTGGTACTTTCAACTGATACTAAGATTTGTTTGGGTTTACTTTCTGACCTTTATCCAATGAATGCATGTCTTTTACAACAGCAAAATAAAAATAAATGGAGAAATACGGTAAATTGGGAATTACCTATTACCGAATCTGTCATAGGCAGCTATGGTGCTGAGGCTGTGATATACCAAATATTCAAGTACACTCCAGAAAAAGTCTCTCTGCATCAGATCTCCTCCCTTTGTATAAATTCTACTCATTCCCTACATGCTTTGAGGACTCTATCTGGCCAATATTATGATAGATGAGGAAATTCAGGAGCTGTGAGTACTATAATTTGCCATCTATACTATACAATCTAAGAATCACTACGAAACAAATCTACAAAATAGAATCCACAGTACCAGTTTCTTATGTGTGACCAGCTAAATAGAAAAAAAAAAAAAAAAGGTAAAAAATAGACAAGATTTATTAGGTAAAAAGAGAAAATAGGCTGAAGATAGGTTGTCTGAACCAAACCATATTCCAGTTACTACTGGCTAAGATTTTCATACTTCCACATTTTATTGCAAAAACTCTCTTTTTACGCCTTACAGGGTATGTATGTGTTTAATGAGCTTTTGAATCTTAGACTAAGTGAACAGGACAATATGTCGAATTGAGGTGAAGAGAGGTCGAGAGAAATGTATTTCAAAGATAAGATATAAATGACAATAGGGAGAGAAAAAAAAGCCTTCCAAGGATTTTGCCCACAGGAAACTAAGAATTTTGCTCCCCCACCCCACCCCACTTCTTCCTCAAATTTGATCATTTCTCAAAGGACATTTCTTTCTTGGTTATCACCTCTTTCTGGCATCACTGTCTACCTATGCAGCCTGGGCCCTGGATTCGTCACCGAAGAAACAGTTTTGTTAGGCATTTTCCTCCCTTTCATTTTTTTCTATTTGATCATAGGTTGGATTTTCAAAGAAACAATCGAGGTAAAGAACATGAGAGAACAGTTCACAATAATTTATTACACATTTTGCATAGAACTAGAACAGCGAAGCTCAAAATTTCCCAACAGAGAAATAATAAATGTTCATCGACAGCGAACAGTTAACTACTCTAATTTGATCATTACATGTTGTATACATGTACTGCATCATCATATTATACTCCATAAACATGTGCAATTATGTGAACTTAAACTGAAAGAAAAAAATGTCAATCTTCTAAAAATTAATGCATGTTTGAGACAATTACTGTAAAAGAGAAGAGGCAGGGACAGAGACAGAATGGCTAGAAGAGAAGTTGATACTTTCCTTGAAGAGTTTTAGAAATTCCCAGATGCCTGATGAACTAGGACCTCTGCCATTCAAATGTCTAAATTATAAAGCCCCGTTTTCCCTCTCCCTCACATTCCCAGCTGTGGTCCAACAAGAACTAAGGTTCTGACAAGTTATATCTGGGTTTCGGGAAAGGCTGAAGTGCCGACTATGCAGTTAGGACTGCAGGCTTAACCTAAGCAGATCAACTTTTATCTAATAACGGGCAAACATTTAATACATTACGTGGAACACAGAAGGCTGAACATTATTTGCTATTAACAACTACACTTTGGAAGAATGTTCCATGACAGAAGTAAATATTCACAATGCTAAACACTATTTATAGCATTATCCATATTTCAAAATATGTAATAAACCTAGAAAACATATTCTAGAGGGAAATGCACTCCTGTGCAAACCATGTGAGAAAGACACATTTATGGGTGCCTTTTAAACTTTTTTCAATGAATAATCTTTTCTTAAAAAATATTTATAGCATCTTTTTAAACATTAAAAAATCTTTTATTAAAAAATCAATTCCTTTAAAAAAGATTATTCCCAACACCACCCTTGCTTGACATCTTTTCCTTTCTAAAGCCCAGAGTTGACTGACCAAACCTTCAGTGACCTGTGCTGCAATCTGCCTAGGTAAACAACTGATGCTTGCTAGCAGGAAGAGAAAAACATTGAGGCTGCTGGCCCCAGAGGTTTCAAAGATAATAAAGCCAAAACCAAGGGAGTAAAAAGCAAACCAAGCACATTTCTCTGAGCACATTACACGTACACATGTTGGTGCATGTGTACTTACTGACAGCAATATTTCTTTTTAGTACTGGGGGTGGCACCCAGAGCCCTCTTTCTCACTGAGCTAATCCCCAGCACTTTTTATTCTTTTATATTCCAAGACAAGATCTCACTATGTCACTAAATCGCACCAGATGGGCTTGAATTTGTGATCCTCCTGCCTCAGCCTCACACACAGTCCTGGGATTGCAAGCATATACTATCCAGCCCAGGTTTACTTCAATTATTTCTAAAATTACTTGTTTTAAAGTCCTTGATGTTTTAATCTTAAATTGTCAGCTACTTATAAAGGCCAAAACTCGAGAGAATCTAAGCAAAAAAGAAAATAAATACCATCAACACTAAAACTTGGTACAGACATGCTCATTTTGTTAGGTAGCACATACACTAAAAACTGGCACAGTACCTAGCTTTTCCAAAACATCAGATTTCCATGTAAGCAAGTAATCTTTACAACTCACCAGGTGCTTTGCCTTCGCACGCTCCTCCTCATTTGATATCCTCTCTCGAAGGATAGCTCTGGTTAACTGCTCATTGGCTGCAGCCTTCTCTCGCTCAAGATCTGTCCCTTGCTTTAGTCTGAAAAGACAAGAATGGCCTCACTTAGAAAAAAAATTCGTTACTTCACATTATTTTTGGTTAAATAAAATAAATAGCTGTGTCAGTAGCTGAAAGTATCTTGCCCTTAATCTACAAAAGGTACAAAAGTAAATCCCAGGCAGCCTCTACCCTCACATTTAAATGACAGAATTCAAATATAAAGAAGCTTAAGGATTTGGCTGCCATACTATCTAGGTGTTATGAAGTTCTTCTTACCTGAAACAGAAATCTCTCCACCTGAGAATTCTTTCATTGGTGATTCTGTCTGCCTTCTAGAAATCTAAGTAATAAAACTAACAAATCATCTTTGTGACAAATACTTGAAAGTCTTATTATTTATTCAAGATGCACCAGACACTGTGTTGAGCCTTAGGAACACACTGATGGACAAAGTGGACAATTCCCTGTCTTAAGATTCTTACATTACAGTAGAGGTGAACTTACACCACAGTGGAGGTATCTTTCCACCCACTGTGTGATATTTTTCACCCTCATATGTAAATAAAGCAACACCTTTCAACAGCAGGCCCTTCTTCTTCCAGAATGATGCCAATTTTTTCTCCTTACCTCCAAACTACATCAACATTCTAGACATAGTAGAGCAAAATAAGATAGGAGAATCTGGATCTATACATAATACTAATTCTATTAACAAAGTATAAGATTGCATTAAGTTTATCAGTAGCATCATCACACAACTAGGTCACATTAAGCTATAATCTACTAAAACCCCTCACTGTACATGAGAAAGATAAATTACTTTGGCACCGAGTTTTGCCATAGCTTTTGGCACAGAAAGCTATACAGTAATCACTAAATGCGAGAACATTTCACAGTCATCTCAGGGACAAAGAGTTTCTGATTGCCTTTTCTTCTTTGAGAGAAAGAAAACCTCTATAGCATCATATCCTCAAAAGAATAAGCCATGCTCTTTAAAAAAAAAAAAAAAGGTAAAACTGTTATAATGGTATAATTCTGAGTAAAATCTTCTAAATGAATGAAAGCACCAAATTTTACTCAATAGTAGCCTATGAAATATTTTTAAAAGGATTTCTGTAAAGAACTATAAAAGATAAAATTTGTTGTTAGTATTTTTAATTTGCCATACCATCCTGATATTTAGGAATTTTCAGAAATCAATTATAATATGAGGTAGCTTTATAAAATATATTCTAAGACACAATTCTTTGATTCTAAAATGCAAACCCCTGTAGTTTTATGTTGAATTTTTAAAAAAGAATAGAAACAAATTACAACCTGCAATTTGAAATAATGATAAAGTAATCTTCAGAAAACTTTCTAAGCAGTAAGCACCATGATGTACAAACCAAACTTCTCTAAAGTACTGCATAAAGACCATATAATAAATTCAGCAACATCAATGATGTCAACACATTAACTCCACTGGACCTGTAAGAAAATCCTAACAATTACAAAATGCATCACTTCCCCAGAGGAGCAGTCCCGAACATGCAGTAGGCAAACAAGCAGCAAAAGCATCACCCTGGATCTTGCTAGAAAAGAAAATGCTCAGACACCACCCCACACGTACTGAATAGAAATTGTGAGAGCAGTACCCAGCAAGCTGCCTTTTAATAAGCACTCCAGGTGATTCTGGCAGATGCTAAACTTTGAGATCCAAAGCTCAATACACAAACTCTGAAGATATATCAAAGGAAAGTAACACCAAAATGGAGTGATCCACATGAGCATACTATACTGGTAACTGCTGAGGTTACTGAATCAGATTACGAAACTGTGTGTTTAGAGCACCTTTGGGGGCATATTAACATTACTAACGTTTATGGATCATCTACTACATGCCAAGCACTATGCTAGGCACTGCAAACACACACACACACACACACACACACACACACACACACACACACCCCTCTTAATAAAGTGACATTAATTCATGACATAAAAATAAATTCTATACAACTACATTTTATCAAATCATTTGCAGCATCAAATTTTAAAGTACTACTTAAACAATAACTTTTCTTCTAATTGAGTTTATTTGTATATGGCATAAATTTTGGTTATAAACAGAATTATAAGTGGTACAACTTAAATATTAGATCATAAAATTTTGGCAAGTTAATGAAAACAAAGCAAAAATATGAGTACAAAGTGTTCAATATTATAATAAAATGAAGGTTATTTAGCTTACCATACTTGGTTAAGATGAATGAACTCTGGATTTGGAATCCTGGGTCCAAATCAAGGCTGTGCTCCTAGTATTCTCCTTAACTTTCCTGAGTCTGCTGCTCCCATGAGTAAAATGCATTGATGTGACACCTACCTTATAGCGTCTACATGACAACACTTAGCAAAACATGTGCAATAGGTTAAGCCCTCAACAAATGTTAGGAGTTTTGATTTATATGTAGATGTCCCCCCAAAGCCTCCTGTACATAACGGTAAAGTTTTTAAAGTGTTTGGAGTGCCAGGGATATAGCTCTGCAGCACAGCAACTGCTTGGCAAGCACAAGGTCACGAATTTGATTACTGATATCATACAAAAAATAAATAAATAAAATAAAGTGTTTGGATTATGGGGGTGGTGTGGAAGGAAGGTTTGGGTCAGAAGTGGGTCATGTGAGTGTGACTTAGAAGAGGGTATCCCTCATTCTGGCTCCTTCCTGGATTCTCTCTGCCTCCTGGTTGCCTTGTGTGGGCAGCTAGTCCTCCTCCATGCCCCTGTGTCATCCCATCCTGTCTTGGAGCCAACAGACCATGCAAAGACTGGGATTACTGAAACATGAGCCAAAATAAACCTTACCTCCTTTATGTAGTGAATGTTAGGCATTCTGTCCCAGCAAGGAGGAAAGGGACTAAGACATTAGATAAGTAGCAGTAATAGTAATAATAATACTCACCATGTAATAATAATACCCACCAGTAATAACAATAGTACCCACTATGGGGTCAGGAATACAGAGAAATCAACAATTTTCTGAAATGAAGAAGAAAACCTCTAAATTCACTTAATATACTGTGACTACATGGCTTTGTCTTTTCCATCTTCTCTCCCAATACTGTGCCAACAGGAAGTTCTGCTTTATTTTTATGATCTTCAAGTACTTCTAAAACTGAAAACTTACTCTTGACTCTAGCAATCCTTCTCTCTGACAGGCTTTTTTCTTCCTTTCTCACTTGCCCATAAGCTCCTTTGCTGACTGCTATACCCTTAATACTTGTTACTGTACCCACCACATAGTGAGCACTCAAAAAAAACTTAAGTACATGCATATATGTATGAATGAATGAGTGGTATATTTCTAAACACAGACAAAAATAACAAGCCTTGGAAAACAGCACACTGAGGGATATCAGAAACAATTAGGAAGACAAGCTGGACCCTTAGAATATGCCAGTCATACATACTGTAATCCAGACTACATTAAATGACCTACAATGAAAAGGGTCACAGAATATGTACAACTAACTGTGCTTAAGTTTTAGATGCACAGATTGTCACAAATTGATTAAAATTATTTTTCTTTCTTAGTAAATACTTCCAGTTACTTTCATTTATCTTTACAAATACAACTACACATATTCTCAGTTTATTTTAAAGGAATGTCTGCTCTGTGCAGTGACTGTTTAAGAAACAAAATTTTGTATGTTCTGGGAGCTTGGCAGGAGGTCCCAGGACAAATTTTCATTTCGTATCAGCAACTTGGCTGTATAATGGAATAAATCTGTTTTCTCCACTTTAAAATCTTAAGGATGAACTATATAATCTTAAGGCCCCCTGCAGCTAATCATCTTACAAATGTCATACCTCAAATATGCTATTCTCCATGCCATAAAATTCCTGAAGAAGGCATTTGCAGAGGATAAATGAGAGATATTATCTCCAAATTTTAATACTACTACGATTTTCATTCAATGGACACCTATTTCTACTCTGATTCTTAGATTTTCTGTTTAACAAAAATTGTTCACTTTGTTAAGAGTAAATGGATTCACAAAATCAGTCAGTAGCTAATCACTGTGTTCCAAGCACTGTTCTGATGACTGAGAAAATAATAGTGAACAACAGGCGCAGTATCTGCCTTCATGAAGCTTAATGATTAAGTTACAAATGAGAAATGCATATTTTTCCTTTTTACAAATTTTATTAGTACATGTTTGTAGCACATAATGCTTTCATTCTCTGTGGGAAGCAGTACAGTTGCACAGGTGAATAACACATCTGAATTCGTCTTTTCCTCCCCTTTCTTTCCCTCCCTTCCCCCATCTCTTGTCCCCTTCCTTTTTCTTTTGTACATGTTTGCATTCCTATTATGACAGGACTGCTATGTGACTTGATGACTAATGGACAGTGGGCAAGCCACAAGGGCAAGGAAAAAGTGTCTTAGGCAGAGAGGAAACATCAACTAGAACTACAAGTACCCAGAACAAACTTCCTCTGAAGTCCTTTGGTGGCTTTAAAGGGCACCAGAAGCTTAAAATTGTCTCTGCAAAAAATATTATTTACATTCAAAATGTTTGGGAGGGTAGTTTAGATAAATGGTCTACTAATTAAGGCTTTGTTCTTTCCAGTGTCTTTAGAAGTAAAAGCTACAGACTAGAAACTTCCATCTTCTTTTTCCCCAATTTCCCCTCCAAAAAAAGGACTCACAGCAATTTTTTCCTATAAGCTACATCCTTAATTGACTCACTTAAATTGTTTAACAAACTATAGCCACTTTATAAAGAAAACTATATGTCCCAAATCCCCAATTCTTTTCAGAACTTCCTCTCTGATCCTTTGGTTTTATATCCCATCAAGCTATTAAATGACCATCTATGAAAGGCAGATGTATGTGTGTGGTCAGCCAATTTTTCTTTGAGCCACATGAGATGATCCTGCTTACTCCTCTGTGACTACTGACACAATGGTAGAGTTCTAACATCAGAAGCAATGCTATTTCTCACACACTCCCAGGCAAAGAAGGCTGATGCTCTGGCAATGAAAAGTAATT